TTTGGGAGAGCATTGTCGCGTGAACGGCCCTGTCCTTTGCAACTCCCCACCGCCACCCGCTCGCGGGGCATGGCCTCGAGGGTAGCGCGTGCACCGCGTGCTGTCGCAGAGGTGGACGGCGCGACTCCAGCGGCAGCCCGGGTTCACACTGCGACCCGTCTGCTTCGCAACTGGAGGTTAAAGACTCCGTGGCGTTGTGCGCAAGAGAAAGCGACTGCGTGTCGGTGCCCCGGCACAGAGTTGCCACATTTGACAACTTTGCCCGCAAATTGGTCAATTGGAACACGCATAGCAATCACCTGCGATTGGCACGGCTGGTTACGTACGGTGCAAAAAAAGTTCAACATACAAACACAGAGGCTCTCCTGCATCAACAAGTATAATTATAATAAACAATAGAACGTAATGATCTTCCGGCTCCGTACACGTGCAGCCCTTTTGTCAATCCGCTGCTGGATAAACACATCTCCATGACGCAGTGCGAGTCGTGGGGATTATTTGACGATACTTCACCACGCTGGTGAGTGCGGGGAGTGTAGTTCGGAGGGCATAGACATACAGTACAACAATGGATGGTGCGGCCTCGTAGCCCCGCAAGCCCTGCAATGGCCACCCATGCAAGCACGATCCAGGCTAGGACACGCTTAGCTTCCGAGATCGAGACATCGACTCGGGTCAATCCGTGTGCACTTTAACATATCGCAAGACAAGTCTTTACCAACATTTATCAGCCATCTCATTATCAGTCCACAGTTACCGTATTCTACGCATTACGTTGTCTCCCTGTATTTTAAAGCAAACGTTTTTGGGGGGGGGGCGGGTTATTGCGTTCATGTTGTCGAGCGGCCGCCCTGATTAATACTGCGCGGCCCATCGACCGGAACGCGCCACGTGACCATTGCAGTGGAATGGTCAGCGTCCCCGTGACGTCATCGCAAGAGCATCTCCAAGAGCGCGTTGGCAAAATTCAAAAATAAAAATAAACCGCAGGTCACTCGGTAGAACAGTAATAATTGACACCGGGCACACGTTTGCGGTGAGTCTTCCGTTTGCGGCACGGGACAATATTGTAAGTGTCGTGGGTTTACTCTCCAACACACCGGTGTGCTGTACTAGTAACGAATTGGCACGTTCTGTTTACCTGACACACCTTACGAATTGGCTGTGTCGGATGGCGGCGGGTTTAACGACAGACGCATTTGTATGTACGCGATCGAACCCAAAGAAACCTGTTACTGACGGCAAAACTATATTTAGCGGAGGAATTATTTGCGCGCTTGGTGCGTGGGGGGGGGGCTGCTCTATGGTGGAATGCGACACCTGAGGCCAACTGCCGATGCCATTGTTGTTGCCATTGTTGTTGTTGCTGCTGCTGTTGTCGCCGCTTCGGTTTCTGGGTGCAGATTCCTGGCGCGGAATGCCACTGAGTCAGGTGTGACGCGCGAGGGCTGTGATTTCAATCTATTGGAACTCATTTTTTTTATTTTACCAGGTAAGGCTCACTGAGCTCGACGAAGTGGCCAGTCACGTGAACATTTCGAGCAGTCAAATACTCGAAACGCGCGACGTTGATTCTACATGTGGAGGGACAGACCGGAAAAGAGTCCACCCGACCACGGGGAGAGAGACACGCAAACTCCAAATGTACAGGCGTCAGGGTCGAGATTGAATCCACGACCTCCTGTATACCAGGTGAAACAGTTAACATCTCATACTCTTAGGTTTTTTCGGTAAAGTCACGTAGGTAAAAATAAATAATAATAAAAATAATAGGAATAATAGAAATAAAATAATTTTATTTCTATTATTTGTATTATTTATTTTTACCTACGTGACTTTACCGAAAACAACCTAAGAGTATGAATCCTTGCAGTCACGAAAGCTTCAAATCTAGAGTTAACATCTCGCCACCGTGGCATCATCAATGTAAATCTGGCTGCCAGATCACAACGTGAAACATCGCGACACTCCTTTGAATGTCGCGTGAAACATTACATGTCATGTGAAAGAATGTCCCGTGAAACATTACATTCCTTTGAAATCCGTTCCCAGCATGTCGACTTACGGTATAAATGGAATGCATGCGATTCACGGTTAGTAAAAATATTGGTGATGCATCATCCCAGAATAAAAAATATTAATGATGACGATGATGTTGATATTATTCACGAAATGTTTGTGAAAACAAGACTGACGAGATGCGTAGGGCACTCGACTCATCTCTGTGATCACACGATTGTCCCAAAACACAAATGACGCACTGGGCTATGGAACCCGCCTCCCGAGTTTGTTTCCTGGCTCTGGCGAGTGATAGTGTGTGTATATATTGTCTATATATATATTGTGTCTATATATTGTGCATATAGTGTGTGTATACAAAAACGTTAACCTGTCCTGCCCCGCCATTCACGAACGCGCACTGACCAGCGTGAAGTATGGTCAAACAACGCTCACGACCGACACGGAATGGACAGACCTTCATCCAGCAGTGGATTGACAGTGTGCTTTACATGATATACGTACGTGTACAATGTAGTGCGACAATTGTAGCTAGCTCTTATTACAGCTCTTTGTCAATCCACTGCTGGATGATGGCCTTCCCAACACAGGTTCAGTCGTGGGTGTCGTTTATCCACATTTCACATGGAGACCAAAGAACTGGATCAGGTATCACTCGCCACTGAAGTACGCCATCGCCGGAAATCGAACCCAGGTCGGCTGGGTACTTTGTAGTACGTCACAAAGTAACAGCAGAAATCATCGTAGATGTCCCCTCTCATCTCACTTAGCCCCATGACAAATTGTTAAGGAGGGGCTCGCACTCTGATCGCACAAACAATTCACACACCGGCCCTGCACACCACATCCGGTCTCACGTCGCCTTCAAAATACCCCCAACCAGAACCCACCCACTCGCCCAATTACCCAACTATCCACCCATCCATCCATCCACCCATCCATCCATCCACCCATCCATCCACCCATCCATCCACCCATCCATCCACCCATCCATCCATCCATCCACCCACCCACCTATCCACCCACCCACCTATCCACCTACCCATTTACCCACCGATCCATCAATCCATCCACGAACCATCCACCCATCCACCAATCCATTCACCAATCCACCCATCTATCGACCCACCCACCTACCAATTCACCCACCCACCCAATTATCCACTCACCCACCCAACTATCCACCCAACCACCCAATTAGCCACCGACCAAATTACACATCCACCCACCCACCCAACTACCCATCCACCCACCCAACTACCCATCCACCCACCCAACTACCCATTCACCCACCCAACTACCCATCCATCCACCCAATACCCCCCCCCCCACCCAAATACCCACCAACCGAACCTTCCACGGAACCCACCCAACCATCCAACTCACTTTTACCCCCTGCTGGCCACCACGTAGCACAGTCGCCTCTGACATCGTGGCGTGCACGCTGTGTCGCCTCCACTGAGGCTCAATGCGAAACCGGAAGAGTTCAGATGGGGTGCATATCCCGGGTGAATTGGTCACAGGCGGCCAATAAGTTATGCAAACCCCGGTCTCAGGGAGACGCTGAGGATGAGAGGAAGAGGCACGACACGAGGTCGCTCACCGCGTGGTATCGATTGCAGTCGGCGCGCGTGAATATTTACCAGCTGGCTGTGTTTACAATTACAGGAGCAAATTCATCTCACATCTCCAGCTCCGAGGTGGCAGTGGCGGCGGGGGGGGGGGGGTATTAGCATAAATGGAAATGTAAGCAGAGCTCCGTCCAGTGTCTTCATATGTAAATAAATAATGATTAAAATTTTTGTCCTGTTTTGGAAGTGTTGGTGACAAAGGCATTTGTTTAACCGACATGCCTACTGATGAGACCCACAAGGTCGGAACCGGTGCGGAGTCGGCTGGCTCCACGACAGCTCACACAATGAGTTTGTTAATCCCCCACAGAACGCGCCCGATCTCGCCGCATTGTTTAAGCTAAGCAGGGCGAGCTTGGCCAGTGCTTGGATGAGCGACCACCACCCGCGAGACACGTGTTCTGTGTTTGTGGGCAGCAGTAGGGCAGGACACTTTGTTTTACTGCATCTCTCCACGGTTCCATCCACAGGGCGCTGAAACGAGTCAATCCTAAATTGGCCAAAACGTTTCAATGTAGCAGGGCACTCATGAAAAAAAATACGTTTTAGACTCAGTCAGGCTCTCCTGTGAAAATGCAATAACTGTTATTTTGATAATTATCAGAGAAATGACCGAACAAATTCAGCGCAGGACGCTCCCGCAAATGAGTCCTGAAACTCGGTGGATAAACAAATGACATGAATGTGATTACTCCTCTCACGGCCGCTCTCTAATCTGCGACTCGGGGTCCAGCACCTTGGCTGAACGATAACAAATTGACGGATTAAAGAGCGCGTCAACGGCTTAATTAGCTGCGACCCTTCGTCCAGCGTGTCCCCTTTAGGCAAAGACACAACAAGAACAAAGATCCCCCGTGTAGCCTTAACAGACTGTTGGGGCAAGTGCTGTTAGCGAGCACCGATGAAGGCCAGAACGGCACACGAGGGGGTGGGTGGCCAGCACCACGCCCAGCCGCCTTTGTCTCCCTAGTGGCGATGTTTTTACGCACCGCACCAGGTACTCATTTGAGGCTGAGTCGACCTAGGCAAAGATACAAAGATCTCCCGTATAGCCTGAACAGACTTTTGGAGCAAGTACTGTTCGCAAGCATCTTGCGAAGGCCAGCGCGGCGCAGAACCACCTCCGGCCGCCTTTGTCTCCCAAGTGGCGATGTCCACGCACCGCACCAGCTACTCAATTTTAGGCCGAGTCAACCGAGCGTAGGTCCGGGACCGGTTCAGATGATCGCCATTGGCGTTTGGTGGCCGTGAGTGGGAGTCGAACTCGGTTGGCCGGGTTCGTAGCGCAGCGCGCTAACTCGCACACCACCGCTCCCTGACACGCGCACGCGCGCGCGGCCAGACACTCACTTGCAAGGTGCGCGTGCGCGTGCCGCCGACGCAGGCCGCTTCACACGAAAAACCGTCACGGAGATCCCTGCCTAGTCCATTAACGTCTCGTTTGCCTAATCACGCATCTCGCTTAATGCGCGTGCTATGACCTCGGTAATGCATATCCATCATTAATTTCAAATTTGTTTCCAGGTATTCATTTATAAGTCACCATTAAATATTAAAGGCTCACATTTCAGAGTTAAGGCAGTAAGGGGGGGGGGGTGGGGCTTTGTCCTCACTATATCTCAATCAGACTCTGTTTACCCTGACCCCTCGGATCGGCCGAGCGCGAGGTAATGGAATAATTTGCCCGTCTTAGAGAATGAGTCACTGGCAAAACGGGGCGCGGTGGTTTTTCGCCCCACCCCACCACCACCACCACCCCACCACCCCACCACCACCCACCACCCACCACCACCCCACCACCACCCTCCTCCTCCCCTCGTTCTGACCCTGCGGGGGGTTCTGTCCCTATTACCTGCGGCAGGGACATTACTCAAGTCGGCGTCTCAAGGCCACATCTGATTGCATAAGCTGCTTTAAAAATACACGCCGAGCGCGCACACGCGGCTGAGTCGACTCCGCCCCCAGCGTGTGTGTGCGACGGTGATGATGATGATGATGAAACTGGGTTTGAGCGCTCGGCTCAGCTGGTTGTACCGCATTCTCGCGTCTCATTTGATTCATTAATCCGTTGAGTTCGTGAATGTGGCAGGAAACAAGTTTGTTTCAAATGATGAAATTTAATGAACGAATGGATGCAAATTTTTAATTCACGAATGAGTAAATTCAAATACCTCGTGTCTCAGTGACTTATTCATTCAGTTCATGCATTCATTCGTAAATGTAATATAGCTTGCGTCTCATTCATTCATTCATCGATTTACGAATTCATTCACTCAATAGATTATCTCACCGACGATTGTATCAGTTCAGTTCATGCATTTGTTATAATAATAGATTTTATCTCAATGACTCAACTAATTAATTCAGGTGATGCATTCATTCGATACACATCGCGTCTCACTCATTAATTCATTCATCAGTTCACGAACTCGCGTCATTCATTTCACGTTTCCACAACTTATTATTTCATTCATTCATTCATCAGCTCATGCATTCAGTAATTTAAAATCATCCTACAAGCGTTCTGCGAGAATGACATTCCATCTCTTTAGGTTGAGACGGACACGAGACGCGTTGCATCGTAAATCGCAGCGCGGGCGGGCAGGATAAATTAATCGCGCTGCTAAAATATGTGTTCCACTTCTGATAACAAACTCCAAACAACTCCCCAACATCGCGAGATCCGTAATAAATAAGCAAACGAGAGCAGCTGATGAAATAGCAATGAGGATGCGCGCGGCTTTGTTGGAATGAATATTTTAACATCGGGTTTGTTTCTCTTTGTCTCCGTGATGTCGTTTGTTGTTGCACGTGCACGTGCGTGTGTTTATTTATTTAATTATTCCCGTCGTATTCTCGTCGTGTTCGTGAAGAGGAGGAGAAGAGAGAGAGAAGAGCGTTTCCATCACAATCTCTGTAATTCCCGGGTCCCTGCCTGAGCCGCTCAAATCGCCGGCACGCAGCTGAGACCCACTCGGGTATTTACCAGGCCCGGTTATGAGCAATATCAGCCGCATTAAATATGTAGCGCATTTTCCAACTCTCATCACGCGGAATGGAGAACATTTAATGTCGCTGCTGGCCGAACCCCCCCCCCCCACTGCCCCTCCCCCCTACCCCCCACACGTACGGCGCCTCCCCCCCGCCGCCCCTCCCCACAACTAACATCGAGTATTCCATTTTAATACCCGCCTGTGTCTAGAGCTACTGAGTGCCAGATCTCATTTCTGTTTTTACCGTTTGCTCTTTCAAATCCATTATGTTTTCTGAGGTGGGGTGGGGGGTTATTCCACTGACCCCACCACCCTCCCCCCCATCTCCAGCTCCCTCCCTCGCACCCGCTGCGCTCCCCCTAACTCCCCTCTCCGCTCCCCCCTCCTCGAGCCCACGTGTCACTGTTGCCCGAAGAGACCGTGGGACCTCGCGGCGGAGTGCGAGCGTGCCGTGCGGCGGGGCCGCGAGGCGGCATTCCACCGCGCGATGGAGCTCTCGCCCCCCCCCCCCCGCGATGGAGCTCTCGCCCCCCCCCCCCGTGATGGAGCTCTCGCCCCCCCCCCCCCGCGATGGAGCTCTCGCCCCCCCCCCCGCGATGGAGCTCTCGCCCCCCCCCCAGTGATGGAGCTCTCGCCCCCCCCCCCCCCGCGATGGAGCTCTCGCCCCCCCCCCCCGCGATGGAGCTCTCGCCCCCCCCCCCCGCGATGGAGCTCTCGCCCCCCCCCCCGTGATGGAGCTCTCGCCCCCCCCCCCGCGATGGAGCTCTCGCCCCCCCCCCGCGATGGAGCTCTCGCCCCCCCCCCGTGATGGAGCTCTCGCCCCTCCCCCGCGATGGAGCTCTCGCCCCCCCCCCGCGCGATGGAGCTCTCGCCCCCCCCCCCGCGATGGAGCTCTCGCCCCCCCCCCCGTGATGGAGCTCTCGCCCCCTCCCCCCCGCGATGGAGCTCTCGCCCCCCCCCTTCGCGATGGAGCTCTCGCCCCCCCCCCCCGCGATGGAGCTCTCGCCCCCCCCCCCCGCGATGGAGCTCTCGCCCCCCCCCCCGTGATGGAGCTCTCGCCCCCCCCCCCCGCGATGGAGCTCTCGCCCCCCCCCCCGCGATGGAGCTCTCGCCCCCCCCCCCCGCGATGGAGCTCTCGCCCCCCCCCCGCGATGGAGCTCTCGCCCCCCCCCCGCGCGATGGAGCTCTCGCCCCCCCCCCCGCGATGGAGCTCTCGCCCCCCCCCCCGCGATGGAGCTCTCGCCCCCCCCCCCGCGCGATGGAGCTCTCGCCCCCCCCCCCGCGATGGAGCTCTCGCCCCCCCCCCCCGTGATGGAGCTCTCGCCCCCCCCCCCCCCGCGATGGAGCCTCTCGCCCCCCCCCCCCGCGATGGAGCTCTCGCCCCCACCCCCCCGCGATGGAGCTCTCGCCCCCCTCCCCCGCGATGGAGCTCTCGCCCCCCCCCCCGCGATGGAGCTCTCGCCCCCCCCCCCCGCGATGGAGCTCTCGCCCCCCCCCCCCGCGATGGAGCTCTCGCCCCCCCCCCCGCGATGGAGCTCTCGCCCCCCCCCCGCGATGGAGCTCTCGCCCCCCCCCCCCGCGATGGAGCTCTCGCCCCCCCCCCGGAATGGAGCTCTCGCCCCCACCCCCCCGCGATGGAGCTCTCGCCCCCCCCCCCGCGATGGAGCTCTCGCCCCCCCCCCCCGTGATGGAGCTCTCGCCCCCCCCCCGCGATGGAGCTCTCGCCCCCCCCCCCCGCGATGGAGCTCTCGCCCCCCCCCCCCCGCGATGGAGCTCTCGCCCCCCCCCCCCGTGATGGAGCTCTCGCCCCCCCCCCCTGCGATGGAGCTCTCGCCCCCCCCCCCCGCGATGGAGCTCTCGCCCCCCCCCCCCGCGATGGAGCTCTCGCCCCCCCCCCCCCCCGCGATGGAGCTCTCGCCCCCCCCCCCGCGATGGAGCTCTCGCCCCCCCCCCCCGCGATGGAGCTCTCGCCCCCCCCCCTCGCGATGGAGCTCTCGCCCCCCCCCCCCGCGATGGAGCTCTCGCCCCCCCCCCTCGCGATGGAGCTCTCGCCCCTCCCCCCGCGATGGAGCTCTCGCCCCTCCCCCCCGCGATGGAGCTCTCGCCCCCCCCCCCCGCGATGGAGCTCTCGCCCCTCCCCCCCCGCGATGGAGCTCTCGCCCCCCCCCCCCCCGCGATGGAGCTCTCGCCCCTTCCCCCCTCGCGATGGAGCTCTCGCCCCCCCCCGCGATGGAGCTCTCGCCCCCCCCCCTCGCGATGGAGCTCTCGCCCCCCCCCCCGCGATGGAGCTCTCGCCCCTCCCCCCCGCGATGGAGCTCTCGCCCCCCCCCCCCCGCGATGGAGCTCTCGCCCCCCCCTCCGCGATGGAGCTCTCGCCCCCCCCCCCGCGATGGAGCTCTCGCCCCCCCCCCTCCCCCCCGCGATGGAGCTCTCGCCCCCCCCCCCCCGCGATGGAGCTCTCGCCCCCCCCCCCCCGCGATGGAGCTCTCGCCCCTCCCCGCGATGGAGCTCTCGCCCCTCCCCGCGATGGAGCTCTCGCCCCCCCCCCCCGCGATGGAGCTCTCGCCCCCCCCCCGCGATGGAGCTCTCGCCCCCCCCCCCCCCGCGATGGAGCTCTCGCCCCCCCCCCCCCGCGATGGAGCTCTCGCCCCCCCCCCCCCCCGTGGAGAGACGCCGCCCGCCCGCGCCGATCGCAGGGCGACTCGCGCGGAGTGGGCGGCGATTGGTCGAGGCCGGCAGCCTTCTCTGACCGCTTGTCTGGAGCGCCCGCGGTGGCGAGGTGTTGTCATCTCTCTCGGGATGCAGGAGGCCGGGGGGGGGGGTGTCGATCCCAACCCCACAGCGCCTGCTGCGTATTTGGAGTCTGCGCGTCTCGTAACCCGTGGTCGCGGGGATGTTTTTTTCCGGGTCCTTCGGGTTTTCCCCCTCCACATTTAGACACGTGCCTTAAGAGTATTTGGCTGATATAAATTCCCACAAATGGCACGCCGAATGATACGCCGCTCATTTGTGGCCAGATCGCTACTGAAACAGCTAATAGCTCAGCGCGATTTACCTGTTAAATAAAAAAAGTTTAGTTTAGTCTGCGGGTTCCCTCCGCGCCTTCATGTGAATTCTGAGCGTTACAAATTCTGCGGCGTTCTGAGATACAATTCACGTCCTACGATGTAAGAAGATACGAATTAAACGTATTATCGTTCAACGCATGAAGCGCTATCACTATCACGCTGGCAATGCCCCATGATGAAAGTGATGCACAAGACAAAGACGTACAAGCCCCCTCTGTCACTTCGCGCAGGCCGCTGCAGGCCAACGAATGCAGGGAGATTGACAGGGAGTAAAAGTCAGACAGCAGCCCTCCGTACAGACTGCACTCAGACTACTCACACA